AAAGCAACATCTACAAGCTTCCCTGTGGGGTCCTTTCCAGTAGGAGGTATAGTGTTGGAAAAGAGGGGAGTGAATGGTTTCTCTTAAACTATTTAAATAATGTTGAGCTTATAAAATGCATTTAGCTCCTTCTCCAGTAATTGCAAAGCATTCTATGCAATCAGATCCTTTCTAATTATTTGGCACATGCCTGTGGGAGACCACTTCAAATTTTATTGCATAATTTTTTCAAACTTTTTTAGTTTTCAACATTTATTTCTCTTTTTTCCCCACCTCCCACATGCTAGAAGTCCTGGATGTTACATTAGATAGTTGGTCACCTTCCTCTTAATCTTTTCCTCCAATTCAGCACATTCCCATGATCTGAGAGACCCTCACAAATTCTCAAACCTTCATATTGTTAAGAGGGGTGTCTGCAGGGGGCGGTCCAAAATGTCAAGATGGTGACCGCAATGGTGTGGTTGGAGCATTGTCTGTTTATGTGGGTTACACATAAAAAAACAGAGCTTCAATTGCACTGTTGCGGTCACCATCCTGACTTTTTTGAACATATTCTGCAGACACTCTTGGCTGTTACCCTGTTTCCTGTTGAACACATCAGTCAATTTAGAATGCTTTATTTTTAGTTTGTCCATGGTATGAGTGGTTTCTGAAAAATGAATGTGTATGTGTGCTCATTTATGCATGTTGCCATGGACACATGACTGCATTTTGTGACCAGTTTGAAGAAGTGACACACAAAGGTACAACGTCTGTCTACAAATTTGAACAGGCACATACTATTTATGTGCAAATGTTTACAAATTCAAAAGAATAAACATTTCTTGGAGCAAGGAGTCCCCATTTTTGTTTTTGGCATTTTTCCCCCCACCTTTCCTTGCAGACTTTTAGCTCAGAAATAATTTTAGGTCTCCTTGAATGCATTGTACGTTTGAGATTCTCCCCCTCCCCCCAGATTTAATATCCAAGTCTGGGGACTGTAAAGTCCATTCCAAACCCCTTCTCTTTCATTCCTGTAGGTACTTCCTGGTTGATCTGGAGGTGTATTTTAGAACGTTGCCTTGCTGAAATATCTAACCACTTTGCAGCTTCAATTTCTTCATTAACTGGGACATGAGCTTCTAGGATATATCAATATTAAGTTGAATCCCGCCTTCCTTCCTTCCTTCCTTCCTTCCTTCCTTCCTTCCTTCCTTCCTTCCTTCCTTCCTTCC